TTGGATTTAGCAATTTCCGCTTTCACTTTTAAGAGAGAGTTGCGGCGAGGTTCGGGTAGGTGGTATTAATGGTGCTTTGCATGCTACGCTCGACATCACTTTGTTACTTTTATTGTAGCTTTCAATGTCCGTGTTGTAATGCTGGGGGATCTTGCCGTACATCACTTTATTAGTTGACATATAGCTTACCATGTCCGTGTTGTTATGCTGGGAGATGTACCGTACATCACTGTGACTTATAGCTTGTAATAGCTGTGACGTGTTGTGTTGATATTGTGTACGTTTAACATATATTGTGTGATAATACAGAAGGTGATAGGGGAGACAACTATAGTTTTGATAAGACGGGATCAGACTGATAATTCGGTCACCGAGTCACTTTGTAGCAACTAATATATTTTCCTACAAAGGTAACATATTTAGTGCTCAGGATTAATGGATGTTGGTGATAGTTCCAGAGAACTCAATGTATATTATATCCGAAACAATAATAACAACTGGTTTCCGTTTCATTAAATGAATTTTGCCAAATGTTATTTTGAATCAAATTGGTCATTTTTTTAGCACTCTATATTATAGGAACACGCCACAACCTGGTGATACAAACTACTATTAACTGAGTTTTTAACTGTCATTCTTCTGTTAACATATATTTGTATATTTATACTTGTAACACCCGAATTTTATAAACCCAATGGAGCTTGGCCCTATGTCCATTTCAAGGGGCATACATAATTATGTTAAATAGACGGCAAACATGCCAAATTCACATAACATTAAGATCAGAACGAGGAGGGTGGATATTCACCAGAGATTAATCCAGTTGTGGTGATTTGTAAACAATTCAACAATATTATATAAATCAGTCCACGGACGATGATAGAGATATTGAAGTCAACCATTATATTGTAAAGAATTGTCGTATTTATTCACTCAATCAGGAAAAAAGTATGTTCTAGAACTCACCATTTAAATTTTAAGACAGATTATAGATAGAAAAAATAATGAATAACGAACCGATTCAAATAAAACTTAACATGCATGCTGAGGACAAAAAGATCTTTGAGGAGATCGATGTTGATGCGTATCAGATAGCTAATTGTTAGTCTTGGGTTATGGCCTTTTACGCGGAGGCACACAAACATATTGTCAAGGGGGATGCGCCATCATAAAATCAGCATTAGAAAATCAATTAGTACCCCCCAGTTAGGTCGAAAAGTAATTCGTAAGTATAGCAATATGTAATTTTTAAATGGCTCAGTTGAATATTGATTTGTAGGGCTCGTTTTGGTTTAACTGAATGGGTAAGCGACTCGGGCAAACCGGTCGCCCCCCGCCCCCCACAAAAAAAACAAAAAAAAAACTAACCGGCCAAACTCGGCAACAAAATCAGCCCATTTGCCTATCTGGACTAAGCTCAGGGAGGGGTGCGCCTCTTCGCAAGATATGAATTATGTACAAAGTTTGTGGAAACTCAATTCTTGGTTCGATTCAGATGAAACTTAACATATGTTAAGGAAATGAAATGAAATGAAATGGGGTTTAGCTTCCTACTGTTCTGCTCCTAACCTGGGCTAATGAAGACGGGCATACGCCATACAGTGTGCTATGGGGGGGGGGGATTTTGCCCGGGCAGCGGCACTACGGCCTACTCTTATATCGAATTCCAACTGCCAAGGGATCTTTTACGTGCACGTCAATATGTAGACGGGACCTCGGTTTTTCGTCTCATCCGAACGATTAGCCAGCTGTCCATGTCAGGCCCCCATCCTGCATCACTGACAAGGGGAAACCACACCGGAAAATCTGAATGAACTTTCTCGGCCAATGCAGGGATCGAACCCACTTAGCCAAGTGATCCCCCATATGTTAAGGATCAAAAGATCTTGGACCCCGACGTGTTTATGGCCCTTGCCATAATTGTACAATTAAGAATTGTACAAAGTTTGTTGTCCCTCTAGAGTTTGATTTAGAAGAAACGTAAAATATATGCTAAGGATCAAAGAGTGATATTTCGTTGCCAAGGAACTAGATTTTTTTAATGGCTAATGTGCTGTGTCAAAAATTAGTACTTGTATTTGTGCCAATTTTGATACTTGTATCGACATTTGAAAGATTGCTCTGATATTATGCAGTTGCCGATTCCATCATTAACGTAATTTAAATATGCCAAGCAATATCAACACGGCATACATAGTATATTAAGAGCAGGGTGTGATAACCCTTGGATCTGGGCTTTGGATCAATTCTTTTGGTTAGTACCCAGATAAAACCCCACAAAATAATAAATTGATTCAGTTGTAACCGACATGGCAACTTAAACAAAAATAAATAATGGACAAATAAGTAAAAATAGACAATTCTGGCACCAAATTTAAATGATCTGTTAATCGGAAAATAACTGATTTGGACAGACAAATTTTTGGTCATTAGTAGGACCACCTAGGTCCCTCCTCCTAATACAGACCGAATACCCAATTCTTGTCTTAAAACTGAATTTAATGAAAGGCTCATTGTTTGAATGTTAACCACAACTAGCAACCTTCCTACTAATAAAATACAAAATAAAATTAACTGGAACAGAGAGAGCGAGAGAGCTGTCGCATGCTCATTGTAAGCAATCTCGTTTATATAGTAGTAATGGTTTTTAATCAGTGGTCATTTGAAGATAACCATTGGTGAAAATGCGCTGCTTCTGTTAGAGTGTGCTTATATGAGAGTTTGCCATGTCAGCTCATATTCACTCCCCTGCTCTCCAACGGTGACCATGAACGTTCGATTTGTCGAAACACTTTATGATTTTTAATCTAAACAACATATATGCCACGAGGAACGTTGAAATAACAAAATATATATCATTAATGTTCAGAATCGACGGTCATTCAAACTCTTGAAAATAATCGTTGGTCATCATTGAAAAGACGAATCACTTGGAAAATACTGTGTTTTTTTTACACATTTTCAGAGTTACGTATACTGCAGTCCCCTAGTGCGTTGTGTTCCGGTCAGTGTATTTTTTTCTTCTGTCATTTATTTGGAGGAATGTCCACAACCACACCAAGCAATTCGATGTGAGGCAATGCATTCAAAGAAGCAACTACACACGCTTTAAGATAACTCACAGAAAATTCAACACGATTCATTCCTGAATGAATGCAGACAGGATTTTAAGTCGACCACTAGGTCAATCATACTGACCACTTTCCAGTAGGAGCGATTTGAAATTGGGATAAAAACAAATGGTCAAAATATTTCAAAAACTGCAATTTCCAGTTATATAGGAAGTTGTCATTTCCAAATTGTTTCACTCCATCGTGTGACTCTGTAATTTTTAACCAATAATGATATACATGGCACCAGGATCTATGAAATAAGGTAACATGGTAGTAATTAGTCCTGTAAGTTGAACAAGTTGAAATATTGATGAAATTGGATAAAACATGACATCTTTAGATAGTTGACATCTGTATGTGTCTTGGGTAGATTTGAGTGGGTGAGATTGAGGAAATCTTGTCTCGCTAATAGATTGATATCGTATCCATGTAGCTAGATGTTGAATGATATAGAGTGTTGTGTAACGAGGTATATTGTAATGTCTTCCATCCCCGTGTAGCTCCACCTTGTCAATGGTGTTGGACAGAGGGTCTGATGGTCTTGTTGTTCCTGGAGGCGAGGTTCTTTGAAAAAAGCCTAAGGCTACGCATGCGCATTGATGGACCGAATTTTGATATGACGTCATAGTTTCAAGTTGGCTATATTGACATATTTCGTATTTCCTGGTCCATGTCGATAAGGCTATATTAAGAACAAATTGATTCATAATTCAAGAACAACTTGAATATGTGAACTTTTACGGTGCAAAATACTGAAATATTTAAAGTTTTGATGGATTTCAGAGTGATCATTGGGGAACATTTCGAGTTGAACTATTGTAAAATACCAACAACCCTGAGATAGATTGCTCTCTTGGTAATTTGGAATTTATCCTTTCCAAGTGATAATGGATTGCTTGAAAAAAAAGTCTGGCAAAGAGGTAAGGATTGGAATCTCTCCCTAGCTTCTGTTCTTGTAGCCAGAAACAATTCTTTACAATCAGGAGAAACCTACCACATTCGTCTACATTTTTACGTGATTTTCCGCCAGATATCATCATATGCATCTTGAAAATATATAATTTTGACAAATTAAACAATATTTAATGAACAGCTTCTAGAAAAAAGATAATTTTAGATATGGAAGACCAAACAGCTTTTTATTCAGTGTTCTTGGTTCTTAGTTCTTAATTTATAGACCTTAATTCTTATTTCTTCATTTGTTGACGTATTTCGACATTTGTACAGTAAAATTAACATTTGTATCTTAAAGTCAATATTTATTTTACAAATCAGACATTTGTCATATTCGATTTGTAAAATATATTTTTGTTTAACTTAATTGTATTTTAATATAAAGATATTTTTTTTAGAAAATCAAAAAATTAGCCTACATTTACATTTCATCAGAGAAATACAACGAAAAACAAATCTCGAACAACAAATCTTCAAATACAAATCTCCAAATACAAGTCTTGCAAAACATTTCTTTAAAAATAATTCTCCAAATACATTTCTCCAAATTCATCGAACCGAAACATTATGACGACATCAACCTGGCATACAATAAGTCACCATACAATAATAGGGAATCGAGTATACGCATATGTACTATGTACATGTACATATTTATTTACCTTGTTAAAGCAGATACAATTTGGATCGTCTAAACTCTATTTAGTGAGAGGTGGGTGGGTGGTATTTAAAAGTTAAAATACGCGTCTTAATATTAAATTTCAGTTATGGTGTAATGCTTCACTGGAAGGTATTTGTCTATCGTTCTTTGAATATACGAGTAATAGCTATTTTACTGGCACATTCATGTTTACATGATTTAGAAGAGACGAAGTCCTCTTTCGTTTGTCCAAAAAAATATGTCGCTATTAAAAAAAAACATAATTACAAAAAAAAAAGACTACTTTCAATTTATTTTATTTAATGCTAGATCATAATAACCAATATATTGTTCAAGAATTATTTATCGTTGTATGTCTATAATGAGATGTAAATGTAGATTATTTTTTTGATTCACTAAAATAAATTTTATCTTTGTATTAAAATTCAATTGAATTAAACAAATATATATTTAACAAATCTGACGGCTTTTTTTTGGGGGGGGGGGGGATTTAGTCAGTTTGTGCAGCCAAAACTGTACATGGTGCAAACATTCGGCCTACGTAGATGTGGTTAGTCTCCGTGGATCTATTTATTAAATATAAATTGGGTCATTTTTGACAAACAGGAAGTGTTTTACGGATGGGACAAAAAATAATCTCTCATTACCCAAATTCAAAACATTTTTGTGACGGCTTCCGGAAAATTACCGAGGACTTCCGATTGATCTTGATCAAAGGGAAATAACTATGTGTAAAGTGTTTACTCTGTTTAAGACTTGCGTATACAATAACATAACATGAAAACATAAATATGAGCTTTAAAAACAGTGATTGTATCCCATAAAAATTGTGTTCTGTCTATGAATACATACAGTGCTTTTATATATCATGGATAGATATATATTGATGAATATATAAATATAATTTCTTATCGATGATGGATAGCTATATAAGATAGCTTATGTTGTTATCGGTCGCTCCAAATTGAGTAGCTGACAAATACCATTGCACTTTTCATGAACTTGTTTCCAAAATTTGTCCATTCCTTTCTCCTTGTGATCACAATTGCTAAACTTTTGGACACTGCATGAAGTGTGAAATTGCGGATCTGTTAGATAGATGATACCACTCTCATTGACAGGTAACCAACCCTGTATATCAACTATCATTAGGGTACCGTTACTCTTCACGTAGGAAAAATGAGAAAGTGCAGTAGCTAGATCCGTCGATTCTATATCAGCTTCCGCTTTGTTAACATAGCTCAAATTGTTGGTTAGTTTGTTAAACTGGCCGTGTAAGAATGGTTCTACGTTTACCCAATCTTTGAGAACACCGTTTGAAGTTAGAAGTTGAAGATGCGCTACCGGCAGAAATTGTACACTGAATTTAGTGCGATGATTGGCCAGAGCTTCATTGAACATGGTGACATAGTAACCAGCTACCATTTGACAAATTATGTCCTGCATATAGCAAACCGGGCTTTTCTGGCGTCTGTATCTTTTACATACATACCTAATATTGAAATTGAAATGTTTTATTAGAACATGAACAATCTGACTAAAACATAGATCATATTTCGTTTCGTTTTTTTATAGTTCAAAATTTCGTTTTACTTGTCTTTACTACACTAGGATCTGGAAGAGTTATTATAGTGCCGGCGTTCTGGTTGAAGTGAGGGATTAGCAAATGAAACGGTCGGTTAGGGCGAGTTCTTGGCATGCGATGCATGGAACTGTGGGTAAACCACTACAAACGTCAATGATGATTGATTAATCTATGTCTGACGTAATAGGGTCAAAATTCGTTCGTAAAACCCCTGACTTGACCGTCCAGTACAATATGCCTGATATTCATGTAGTGTGGCCATCGAAAGTATAAAAAACAAACGAAACGAAATATAGATCTGTGTTTTAATCAGACTGGAACTTGGACTACTTCGTATTTAAGTTTTAATTCGTTGATACATTAAACATTGTTTACTGTCAACTTTGTTTGTTGTCGAATCGAAGCCCGGACCCAGCTTCCTGTATTTTCGTCACAAACGTAAGTCCTTGAAAACCAGTGCCTGATTTCAGTGACACACCACTGCGAATGTCGTTGCCGTGGAACGTTGGATGAACAAAATGGTCGACGCTGCCAATATGTCAGTATTTCGACCCCACTCGACTCCTCGCCTATTCAACCGTCTCTCAATGGATTCGAACAAAACAAACACTTATTAAAGTAAGTGTTTTAACGTGTGCGCTTGAAATCACAAGGTCTGTCATTGAGTCAAGAGGCGTTGTTTCGATTCCTCGCTTGAATGTAACTAGGGGTAGGATCGTCTGCCCAACCTCGTGAATCCTCCGGTTTCGCCCCCCACCCCCACATTGATATAGACCCCTACTTGTAAGCAAAGTGTTGCAATAAAATTGAACCTTGTTAGTAGTCTGGAAATTACCTAGTTTGTATCGAGTGAACGTTAAACCCCATATCTCCCTATAAAAAGACAAATATACGGCAAGATCAATAAACACTGTCAATAATTTCATTTACCTTCCAAGCGGCTCATCTTGATGTAAGAATTTTACATCAAACACGTCGCGGAAACTGCCTTTCATATTGCCCAGCTGTAATTCTGGTCCTATAAAAGCTAATGTACTGTTTGACTTCCATTCATTGTTCACGGGATTATAGGTTAATATGTGAGCTCCTGGAAATATGAAGCAATGGCAGCTTAAAATATAATCTGAATCAAACTCATCACTCTAAATTTCAGTTCATAGTTTTGGATTTACAGCTAGTTTGATGGGGGTTAAAGGACAATATTAGTGCCAGTCATTATCACATATGTGATAGAACTGGTTAAACACATTCTAAATATTATTTTATAACAGAGATCATTGCTACGATAGCTTTGGAATCAATGTTTCAACAATCGGAAGTGACGAACGCAAAAGGAAACACGAATCATCCCTCTATATAACTGATTGAAGTGACGGGTGATAACAGGTACATGGGCGGATTTCTGCCCGCTAATATTTCCTTCGAAGACCAAGGGTTGTTGTGTGAGACTGTGATAGGATAAAAAGAATTGACTGCCACTAGATAAGAGAACATGAAAGAAAAATAGAAAAAGTCCGTGCATTACCATGTTTTTATAAGGTTAGAATGAATAAACACGCGTGAATGTACGGACTTTTTCTATTTTATTCGTGTTCTCTTATCTAATGACATTCAATTACTTTTTTGAATTGTCAGATATACTCTTACAGTCTCATATAAAATCTTTTGGTCTTCGAAGGAATTATTAGTGATTAGAAATTCACCCATGTATCTGTTATCAACCGTCACTTCAGTCAGTTATATAGAGGGATAACTCGTGTTTTGCTTTTGCGTTCGTCATTTCCGATTGTTGAAGCATTGATTACGCCTCTATCGTAGCAATGATCTATGTGATAAAATAATATTTGGAATGTGTTTAACCCGTTCTATCACATATGTGATAATGATCGACACCAATATTGTCCTTTAACAACAGTTGGTGATTCAGAACGCCTTTCGGTGACGTATAAAAACTGAAATGAAAACTATCAAAGAATTGTCTTATCAGACAGACTTTTCCTCGGACATCAACAGTGTCACTGTTCCACTTACAAGACCGTGGAACGAGTCAGGCAACGCAGGTTACTAAAGATAATAATATGGTTAAAATAATGAAGACATGTTGGTACATGAATTCCAATAATCCGAAAACATCATATTTACCAGAATCCCGCTTCAATGGTTATTATGATTTTATGGTATGTATCTTGGGTGTGGGGGTGGGCGGTGGATGGCTGAATGGTTAGCACGTGCGCGCTGTGTCATAAGGTCTTGGTTGTACATGACAAAGGGTAGGGTCGCCTGTTACTGGCTTTTTTCCGGGTCCTCAGGTTTCCTCCCACTGCTAAAACCCATACTTGCATGCGAATTATTGAAATAAATTTGAACCATATGTTAGTCCCGAAATGACCGAGTTTGTGTCGAATTGACGTTAAACCTAATTTCTCTATCTCGCTATCTTATTGAAGAAGAGGGAATATCTAGGATGGCAACATACATATCAAAGAGTCAGTTTCAGAATTGGTTCAATGTACAACCATTTCTTCCAAAATATGTGTATTAATATTTAAAAGCTATTTTTTGTCGTGCAAATTGTATTATAATATCTCTTGTCTCCCTCCGATACATCCGGATAAAACTTAGGCATTCAGTTCTCCAGCATTTAAACGATCTGTTGGGAAGCATGACATTTCACACCAAGTCATTAATTCTACTGTTCTCAAACAAAATATTATGATATGTAGTCACCAGTCTTGGTCAAACATACTTTTCGGCCACTTTAAATTGTGGCCTTGGAGCAATTACGTGCACGATGTAAGTCAGTATTGAATAATTATATGCATTGATGGTTATTTGAATATAATATACACGTGTTTGTGTCTTGGCCAAAATGGTAATCTATGGAATAGATGTGGACTTTAAAAATACTAAATCGATTGTCACTCTGTACATATAATAAATATTCATAATGACAAAAATAACATACTTGATATATTAGCTGATTGACTGGAAACGTCTATATTTGGCAGTTGCCAGTTTAAAAGATAATCTAGAGAACTAGACGAGGAATCAGTAGAAGAGCTGGTTCCAAGTTGAAGCTCCTCAAACTGTTCATGTACTTTCGGTGATGAGATATCAATTAATGGTTCCAAATGATCATCGTCAGTACAGTGTTCTTCAGTGGTTTCAGCTGAAAACAGACTCGCAGTGGAACCTGAAAATATGGACTGAGATTCTGTTGATATTCCAGGCTCGGATCTCAGTGATGTTATCTCGGATGATTCCCTTTCATTGGATTTGATTCCCAAATTGGCTACATTAGGTAAATTCCTTGGATCGTATCCGTTACTTCCAGATACAGTTTTCCATGAAATATCCACAAGACTTTGAGAAATCCGGGGCTGCATATCATGATAACCACCATCAAAATCATCTTTAAAATCATCAGATGAACAAAATGTGTGAGGATTTACACTCAGACCAACAAATTTTCTGGGAAAGTTTGTTTGAAATAATTTGTCACTATTTGTAGACAGCTGTGCTGATGGCGATAGCGAATCACTTGTTGTTGCGTGACGGCTTTCATTGTGTAAAGACACAGTCATAACTTGAATCTTCAAATTATCTTCCACCATTTTAGTATCATTGACCGGTGTTTCTTTCTGCATGAAACTGTCTGTGCCTCTAAGGGTAGGAAGACCGAGGATATTTAAAGCCCCATTCATCAACTTGACGGAATGTTTATTGTGATCCAAATTACGATCATCAGGGCATGTGCACAAGTGGGCGTATAGTTCAATACTAAGCTGTTCAAGATATCGAGATAAGCTTCTATCTTGTGGGAGCCTAGAGAATGAAAGGGTTTGACTGATCATAAAAACAGCTTTGATGAACTCATAAAAGCTTTCTATTCCCTTTAGTAAATTGGCATCATCGTGCAGGGCTAAACATTTCTTCATATCAGCAATAATGGTCTGATAATAGCTGTATCGTTCCAATACCACCGTCTGTTGATCGGCATACATTAATAGACATTCATTCCCGGATAGCTGAAATAATATTGCATATCAAATATCATAATGGCGTGAATGCACTAAGGCCTGTTATGTCCTAATGAATGCCAAGAAATAAACAACCAGTACATCTGAGAGAGAGAGAGAGAGAGAGAGAGAGAAATGAGGTTTAACGACCACTCGAAACAAACTAGGTCATTTCGGGACTAATATATGGTTTAATTTTGTTTAAAAAATTCGATTGCGCGTTGGGGTCTTTAGCAGTGGGAGGAAACCGGAGGACCCGGAGAAAACCCACGAGGTTGGACAGGCGACCCTTCTCCTTGTCACGTACAACCGGGGATTCGAAACCACGCCAGTTGACTCAATGACAGGCTTTATGATACAGCGCGCACGTGCTAACCATTCGGCCATCCAACCCCCCACATCTGAAAGAAATGTTGGTGGAGAAAATTTTCCGGGAAGTTTTCCCCTTGTCAGTGATGCTGGAGGGCTTCTCAAGAAACAACTTCTAGTCCATCATCGGTATCCCCAGTGGTCTCCACTAAACCTGGTTCATCCATGGATGAGACACGTATTCAAATTATCTGCCCTTGTTGATTGTCCTATTTTTATTGACCAATCAAAAAAGAAAATCGTTGAATATAAAGGAAGTTGGCGAAGGGAAGTAACTCGCATCCTGTTGCAAACATTCTCATAATAGAGCGAACAAGTCGCCGTGCTGTGAACGTAAACAATGAAGCTAAGACTGGTTTGTAAACTGTTTTTGATTTGTTCGATCGTAAAATCAAGCTACGATCAAGGGCAGATAATCTGAATACGTGAATACCCCAGGGGTTAGTGGAGTAGAACAGAATGAGACCACTGGGGATGCCGAGGATGCGTCTAGTAGTACGGGGACCCATGTGGCATAATCGTAAAAAAGGCCTCGACAGACGAATAGGCAGAAACCTCGCTCTTCGGGCAAATGTCAGTCCTAGCCAGGACCGTTACTAGCTCAGAGCAACGAGGGGGGGGGGGGGCGGAAAGTATTCTCAGGGGTGCTGTAAAATTGACGGACAATGTATACTTTTTATGGTCGAAAATTATATTATAGAATTGGCTGTCACTAGATAAGGAACACGAGAAAAATAGAAAAATCCCGTGCATTCACCCGTTTTTATTCATTCTGTTCTTAATAAAAACATGGTAATACACGGACGTTTTCTAATTTGTTCGTTATCTTTTATCTACTGACAGCCAATTCTTTTTTTGAATTGTCAGATATCCTCTCATCGTCTCATATAACAACTTTTCATCTTGAACTGAATTATCAGTGAAATGAAATTCGATCGTTTGTCCATTATCGCTCGTTACTTCAGCCAGTAATATAGAAGGACAACTCGTGTTTGTCATGTTTGACGTCACTTCCCGTTTCTTCACGTGCTTGTTACACATCTCCCGTAGCAATGATCTCTGTGTTAAAATTATATTTTGGATGTATTTAACGAGCTCTATCACATATTTTATAATGACTGACACCAATATTGTCCTTTAATCTGTAAAGACATGACATTCATAAGAATAGCCTACCTGATGTTTTGCTGAAAACAAATGATCAATATTCTTTAACTTCTCCAACAATTCAACACTCATTACACTTATTCTATAGCCTTCGTAACATGGATTATGCTTCTCGAAGAATGATGGATGCCTAACTTTTAATGCATCATACTCGTCCATTGTCAACTTAGGAAGACATTTTGTAATCAAACCATGTGAATAACTCACTCCTTTGTAATCTTTAATAGACATGAGTTGTTCTGCGGATTCCACTAAATACGGCATGGCATCTTTCCATAAACCTTAAGTAAAAGAAGGAGAAACGTAAGGCCGGCTAAAAGGGTCAAGCAGTTTTATGTACATATACTTTTCAAAAAAAGTAGGGGATATTGAAATGCAAATACCTATGCAGGTTGTGATATGATAAATAGTCATGGACACTTGACATGCTTTGAGAGAATGTTCACAGATGAAGAACTTATCACCCCAACAGAACGGGAGGGGTTCATTGTCAAATTGGACACTTCAAGGAAGGATTGATGAAAACTGTCGCTTGCTGGTTTATCCTATCCATGTTTGCTTTCCTATCGGTTCATGCATAAGATTTGTTGTTTAGCGTATCTTTGCTTTAGTGTGTTACGTTTAATTTGATCGGGAGACGTGTTCGTCGACGTCAACGTCAACACTGAAAGAATTGGCCGTATCACTGCAAGAGGAGTGGGTCAGATTGCCCCAGATCGTGATTGGACGGTTGATTAGGAGCATGCCACGACGAATTGCTGAATGTCTGGAGATTGGTGGAGCAATTACTCATTATTAAGACAAAAATCAAAAACGTCCAATTTCACTTTTGACGGTGTATCTCTTTGCGAGTGAAATAGGGTCGTCATTTAAGCCGCCCATATGAACTGTTTATGTTTATGTGTAGGTAATTGGCCTTTTATTAACATACACTGGTTATCTCTAATAAAAACAGCAGTGCATTTCCGCAGTCTTGTATTGATTCTGAATATCCCCTACTTTTTTAAAGAGTATATATACTCCACTTATTCAAATTTGCGATGGATTAAAATAATGGATTGAAATAATAGAATTAACGGTGAGTTGAAATAATAGAATTAGCGTTGGGTCGTAATAATAGAATCCTTAGGAAATCCGAGAAATTTGCGTCCAACAGGAATATGATAACAATGGATCGAAGGATCCGATACGGATTGTCCTTCACTAGATAATTATTAAAGTAGATAAACAAAAGAGACACTAACACTGTTTTCATCGAGAAGTTAGAAAGGCGACACTGCTGTATGTCATATACAATAGTGGACGGGAACGTGAGGAATAATTAAATGATAGGCCTTGTTACACGGTCCCTGGTCTCATACAGGCAAATATAATTACACAAACAGCACGGGCTAAACATATCATATGGTATGAGATTGCGCTCTAGACCCATGCATCCCTGAATCGGGAGACAAAAGGTTCTTATTCTTGCCATAAAATGTCGTACGATTCAAACCAACGTAGCGCAGTTACTAAACCCTGTTCGACTGATAGTTTCCGTACGATATCGTCGTTGATTCTCAATAGCAGGAATATTGAAGTTGAATTCGACAACCAATTTAAACCGGATTTAACGAGATTTAACGGGATTACGGAAACTGTCCATCCCTCCAAGTATTATGAATGATTTGAATACCTAAATTATGATATATCTGTCCTTTAATCTGTATACAGGTTGCCGTCACTCTGGTGGACTCTATCTCACTCTTATAATCCCACTTATATACTGAAAGTATATATAATAATCAGATAAAGGGTTTTATATAATAAACAAAACGAAATCTATTCATTATGTGGACTTCCAGAGTAAATTAGAATTCATAAAAGGTGTCCCACTAGTCTCATTTTCCCAGTCAGCTATCTCTTAAAATCTAATTCCGAAGCCATCGTTGTTCGTTAAAATTGTTTGAGGAACTGTAAAAGTATTTATTCAGGTATTTTAATGGTTGCATACCTTGCTTCTTAACGAGCGCATCAAGAATCTGCATGGCGCCGTGCAAATTTCCAGAGTCTTTCATTAACCTGGCTCGACGTACTATGACTTGCGGTACTATTCTTGTATCTGGTTCCATCTGCCAGATGAAGTCGACTATATTCATCAGTTGTTTTGAATTACCATATCTGTAGGAAGCCCGATCTACCAGAAAGACGATTGCTGATGCCAATTTGTAGCAATCCCATTCTAAAGCATACACCAAAATACTCTGAAAAATACATTTTAATGTTCTTAACGTATTAGTTGAAAAAGAAAAATGCAAAATTCACAGAATTCAATAAACTGCTTCTTCGTGGATGCAAGCAAATACATAACATACAGCGAATATATTTGCCTTCGAAAACCAGACCCAACCTATCCTTGAAGTGTTCACAGAGTGTAATATATTTGCTAGTGAGAGAGAAAGAAATGGGGTTGAACGCCCACTCGACACAAACTAGGTCATTTCGGGAGTAAAATATGGTTTAATTTTATTTCAATACTTCGCTTGCGCAAAGGAGTCTTTAGCAGTGGGAGGACCCGGAGAAAACCCACGAGGTTGGACAGACGACCCGACTCCTTGTCACGTACAACCGTGGAATCGAGAACACGTCAGTTGACTCAATGACAGACCTTATGATACAGTCCTCACGTGCTAAACATTCGCCCCCTCCCCCCTCTACCTTAGTACATGTACGGTAAATATTATTTTGTCAAAACTTACATAAAGAATAGTAAGCTGACTGTGATCTGTGAGATGTGAGTTCTTTTCAACAAAATGCTCAGTTATCAAATCATTGGATAAGAAACATAACTCCTGTGCCAGAGCTAATTCAAGTTGTTTCATCATGGCGGATGGTATAAGTTGTAGCCAGCATTGTATTGTCTTTTCATTAGATTCTTTTGGTGGAAATACAGCATAAAGCTCATCTGTAGAAAAATCACAAAAAAACAAAACAAAACATACAACATTTTAACAAAATGTGTAGTTGGTAATGAGAATTGGATACTTGTATTTCAGGCTTTATATAGCCGCAGTGGTTTTCAGTATTGTATGACAGATCGAAACGGGATTGCTGTCATTAACACAGCAGGGTGAAGCATGTCTTGCGGAGCATAGGTGTGCCACCTGTATAACGTGAGATAATTTCAAAGATTGTACGTTCACGAGAGACCGGGGACTCGTCTGCTAACCAAACTTTAACTTTAGTTTTGTTGACTTTCCTCAAAATATTGTTTATGAATTAGAATATTTTATTATACAGATACCTTTGGAGATGATGTTTAGTGTTTTTGCACACTGCTTTAGAAAATCTTCTTTATCCATTATATAACATTTCTTAATCTGAAATAAGTCTCAAATATGCATTATATGTAAGAAGTAACTCTGCCTATAGCAAGTCTTTATGTTGGTTTCAAATGTTATGTAAACTATTATTTAAACATTTATTAACATGACGAGACCATAATAAACTCTCTAGGCCACGGATGGCTCTGAATAAGAAAGATTAGAAATTTAATGATTTAATTTAAAGATGGAGAAGCGAAGCTAACTCTCGAACTACAGGTAGCGTTGTTACGATGATAAACAATCGATACCAGATATTGTCAAAACGCAAGTCATAACTTCGCTCAAAACACGTAATTTTAATGAAATTTTCAATATATTCATTTTGCATTATCGTTGTATCTAAATCTTACATAATGCATCATTAATGTTATAGAACATGAACGACATAGTTTGGGCAAATATTGTATTAGTCACTGGTAATGTTGTCTTTGTAACATTAATAGGAACACAACAACCCGTAATCCTTACTTCACAACTCAGATTGTACAGCTACAGATTTATTTGTCGTGGTTTTGATTCCCGGCTTGTGGTGGCTAACCCACCGGGTGGCTATTCTCTAGTTGCCCCAGTGTTTCTGTAGAGTGGAACAATACTACGTCTCTAACCTATCATGACCAAGAGAGGAGTGTTATAATGTACATCCGCAATCACCTACAACCCGCTAACAATAAGCATTATGCAAAATACATCCGTTTCAACTACAACGTATACACATTATTTATATCCCTGGATATATAGGTTCATCTATTAGACCGTGACGCGTTGAGGTAAATACGTACCTGTACTTAATAGTATGTTAAATGGGGCAATATAGATATCCTTGCGAGTAAGACATACCACGTTCCCCGCCCCTACCCCCCCCCCCCCTCTATCTTTTTTATAACCTACTATACAAATCCTATGGCAAATTGTGCTACTGGGCTATTCGGTGTAAACTGAAAAAATCAATTTTATCCTGTAGTCGGTCACGATAACCAAAACGGTGGATAGACAACAAACTTAAGCATGCTTTAAATAAGGTTGGTGTATATACACGACTAAACTTGTTTACAAATATACAAAACGTGTTTACTTACTTACCTATATACTACGCACATCAATATATATTATAGAATAACTTCCCTCCCCTCTCACACCAAATTAATCAAAACTTTAACGTACTTATCTGTATTGTGTGTGAACAAATGGTGTAAGAGATACCTATTGTCTTGTCACTTGAACATTTAAGCAATCAATCTACATTGTGTGACCGGATAAAGAAAGTGTAACGTAATATATACGTGCTGTCTTGTTTTCTAAGTATCAGTCCACACTGTGTGACCGGATACGTGCTGTCTTGTTATCTAATATAACTACAGCCTTCTAAATATAGTAGTTATAAGATCAATAACACATTACTACATGGGGTTTAACGTCCTACTGTTCAGCTCCTATGCTGGGCTAATAAAGACGGGCATACGCCATACAGTGTGCTATGAGGGAAATTTTGCCCGGGCAGCGGCACTATCGCCTACTCTTATACCGAATTCCAACTGCCAAGGGGCCTTTTACGTGCATTCAAATGTATACACGGGACCTCGGTTTTTCGTCTCATCCGAAGGGCTAGACAGCTGTTCTTGTCAGGCCCTCCGTCTTGCATCACTGACAAGGGGGAACCACGCGACAGCTGTCTAGCCAGGCCCCCGTCCTGCATCACTGACAAGGGGGAAAATCTGGATGAACTTTCTCGGCCAATGCAGAGATCGAACACCCGACCTCCAGGCTAGCGAGCCGGCGTCTTACCCACTTAGCCACGTGATCCTCTATATAAGATATAACCTTCCGGTATGCCATAAAGATTAATTACCTTGTTTATTTTTATAAAGCTACTTAAACAACAATAAAGGTTATATCAGATTTGACAAAGGCCGCTGTCTAGTCATTCGAATGGGAAGAAAAAACGAGCCCCGGTGTATACATAGTGTGGACAATCCAGGCAGTTGGAATTCGATATAAGAGTTGCGTCGTAGACCATATTGCCGCTTCCCGGGCAAAATTCCCTTCATAGCACACCAAATGGCGTATGTCCGTCTTCATTAGCCCAGTAATCGAGCAGAACAGTAGGACGTTAAACCCCATTTCATTTCATGATATCAAATTTTTATCTCAAAAATAAAATATGGTTATTCACTGCAAATCTTTTACTTACTGCAAATCTGCCTATTGCAGGTCTTTGTTTAGGCCTGAAATGTTATCTTAATTATTAATTAGACATTAATTAACTTATCCAGACCATAATCAACTTTCGAAGGCATCGCTAGCCTGCGATGTTTATTGGAATTTATTCTGATTTGCTGTTCGACTTCCATTCATAATTAAATCAAGAAAGGGATAATCGAGACTATGTTTTTTATCCTACCGACTTTAGTAATGATGATCGATGCTAGCCCCAATATTCAATCGCTAAAATCTCGGATCAGAGTGGATCAATTTGACTGAAATTTTTCGCAAATTCCCTTTACATTATTTAGTTTTTAGCTATTATAGTGAGAACTGCCAGCTCTTTATCTAATCTCCCATAATGTATCTTTAAATAAACTGTAACGAAATAGATATCCCGTTCCTGTATCATTCTGTTAATCAATTCTAACATATTTATTGCTAGTCTTGTGCAATTTTCACGTGGAACAGACGACGATTTCCTTAATGAAATAGTTGAGTTTATCATGCCAGCCATGACAGATACTGCCGATGGGCATGTTTGACAATAGCTAAATAGTCCGGTGGCTGAAGGAGGGGGGGGGGGGGGATTGGCACCCGAGCTGTGAATTTATGAGACCAAGTTTTTAAAGACCAGTTTCTTGCGTAGATTCCGAATCTGGGTGGTGATCAGGGGTTTGAGGGGGCGTTTTCGAGATATAAGGGGTCAAATGTCTACAATGGGGGTGGGGGGTGATGTCATTATGTTGGCATAATATATTAATAAAACATAAATTTCTAGGACTACCCACGGGCACTCACCCCGGCGTTCACCCCCATACAATAAGAATCGTATTAACATATTTAGAGATGTTTCTTCAAGCTCTTAGAAAATCATCATTTAAATCAACGTCAACTCATTTCCCCGCCAATTTTATCCCCACCCCTCAACACGCGCCCACCTGCTATCCCCACCCCACCCCCATAAATAAAAAAGTTGCCCAGGGGCATCATAAACACTTATTTATAGATGGGCAGTCCTAGAAATTTGTTTTATTAATATATTATGCCAACAAAATGACATCCACCCCCCCCCCCCATTGTAGATATTTGACCCCCTATATCTCGAAAACGCCCCCTCAAACGCCTGATCACCATCCAGATTCGGAATCTACGCAAAAAACTGGTTCAGAAAAACTTGGTCTCATAAATTCACAGCTCGGGTGGCGACCCCCCCCCCCCCCCTTCAGCTACCGGACTATGTGTTGTATATTGTATTTTCTATTGGTAGTGTATGTAAGGGCTCGGAACAAGACTTTGCGTAGTATGTTGATATAAAAATCGGGTTGACGCAGTATATTAATATGTAAATGTCTCTCTGATCCACCCCTTAAAAACCCAAATTGATAATACTCTGCATTTTCTTTTTGTTTTAATTTAAGATGGTAGAGGGCCAACCGGTCCCAGTCACGGGAGTACCCGAAGCGTATGATCAAAAAGAAGGGATTATCAGTTTGAAACTGCCTGACGGACAATACAAAGAATATTTCATAGAAGAACCAACAAAAGATATTAACCAACTAATAATCAAAGAAAAAGTAATAACACTAACCATGAAAAATAATAAAGTTCTGGAGATGAAAGGTATGTAACTTTACTCCGCGCAGAAAACGTTTCTACCGCGGCGAAAGGTTTCTAACGCAGAAAAGCGTTCCACCGCAGAGAAACGGTTTCCATCCTGGAGAAAATGTTTCCATGGTGGAGAAAATGTTTCTACCGCCTTAAAAAAAAGTTTCCATAGCGGAGGAAAACCTTTTCTCGGCGCTTGAAATCTTTTCTCCATCATGAAAACCTTTTTTATACGCGGTACCGATGAGAAAAGGATTTACACAGCGGAGAAAAGGTTTCTACCGCAGAGAAAAGAGTTTTCGTTGTTTTGTTTTTATTTTTTCACTATTGTATCCTTCTAATATGAAACAGATTACTAGGAAAAAAAAACTATACATTAACCAATGACACCAATAGGCCACCATACTAAATTCTACAGATTACTAGAAAAAAGCTATAGATTAACCCTTGACACAAATAGGCCACCATACTAAATTCTATAGGTATTTTCTTTGACATCTCAATCCCAGGTAAAAAGCGAGTTCTGCCTCGGATTGAAATACCACGTGGCAATTCACCTATATAAACTAAAGCATTAACATTTGTCTTCCTTTTCAAAATGAATTCATTAAAATCAATTTTAAATCTCGGCGACCCCCCTTACAAAAAAACATTCAAATTTATGGTAATTTTGAGAAAAGAAAAATAAAAAAATAAAAAAGTATATGCGATTTCAGATGGTGTGGAGGTTCACCAACTTTATTCAAATCAGGATTTAGTCAATGAGACTACATTACTTATTAGTCCATTATAAAATAGTGTCGGCCAAAAGTGGAACAAAATATCTAACCGCAGGTAAGAAATTGATTTAATGTTTAAATTTATCAATTTGGGATACTTTGAAATAAATACACCAATTGTCGATGATAATTTATAAATTTAGAAGCACAATAGGCTCTTGTTGCCAAAATTACTTTTAATTGAAAACAATTGCTCAAATTATAATAAACGAAGAGCATAGTTTTAAGTCTTGAACAAAAGCGAAACCCTCCAACATCTGCATTATTTTCCATTGTAACCACTCCGCCCGCCCACCCCTCTTTTTATCAAAAACCTATATCCAACATATAACCCCTCATTTCAGGTGCCCCCAAAGGAAACTACATTTCGTCCTTTAATTTCAGGTTTATAATTTCGTAAAATATATATCAATGTGCACGTTCGAGACTGGGGTGCCTTGACCCGAACTGTCACAAAGCATCGTTATTATATTCTGTATTTTTTAAAGTTTTAAAATCGAGTTCACCAGGATAAATCTCCACCAATAACAAATCCAACACGCAATCCCATCCATCCATCTCACTCCATAGGGCTTACGAAAATAAAAATTGATTAAATTTGAATAAAATATTTCAATTTATTACAGATCCAACGGCCAGGCCGACCCCCTTAAGATTCGTTATAACAAATGAATTGCGAGAAAGAGCCCAATTACTATTGTATCCGGTGGCTCCAACAAGAAGCATTGCGGAAGCCAAATCCGTAACCAGTTATTCAACTATCATTGGCACAATCGTTGAGGTAAAACGTCATCTCCATTCAATGTCTGATACTATTCAACGGATATAAATTTCCTAGATTATGCCAATTCGATTATAATTTAGTTTCCAAAATCTTTTTTTTTTTGTCAAGCCATTAATTCAATCAAACTTGTCCATCCTGTTTAAATATGTGACGCTATAATTCGCTAGAAGAAAATTGTCTTGTAGCTGGATGTGAGAGAGAGAGAGAAATGGGGTTTAACGTCCACTCGACAAAAACTAGGTCATTTCGGGACTAACATATGGTTTAATTTTATTTCAATAATTCGCTTGCGCGTAGGGGTCTATAGCAGTGGGAGGAACCGGAGGACCCGGAGAAAACCCACGAGGTTGGACAGGCGACCCTACTCCTTGTCACGTACAACTGGGGATTCGAAACCACGCCAGTCGACTCAATGACAGACTTTATGATACAGCGCGCACGCTAACCATTCAGCCATCCAACCCCCCTGTAGCTGGATGTACATGGCCAGTTAAGCTAGAATAATACCACGTGACCCGTGTTGATAAATATACACCCCCAACAGCTTCTGACGCCCGCTTTGACACACCATTGTACTATATTTCATTAAAAGCAGCCTTGATTAACCTGTCATTCTATTGTAATATACGCCTGTTATCACGTGATCTCGTTCATATTCATAATGCCATTATACATTTGTAATTAAAATGGATTTTGGTATTTTTTATGTTTTATTGTATTGATACTTCAATAATAAAAACTTACACCTCATTATTGAATTGGGGGGGGTTGGATGGTGGAATGGTTAGCGTGCGCGCGCTGTATCATAAAGTCTGTCATTGAGTCGACTGGCGTGGTTTCGAATCCCCGGTTGTACGTGACAAGGAGTAGGGGCGCCTGTCCAACCTCGTGGGTTTTCTCCAGGTCCTCCGGTTTCCTCCCACTGCTAAAGACCCCTATGCGCAAGCGA